TCTCTCTCTTTCTTACATTTTTCTCTTTCTTCCTTTCCGTCTTACATGTCCTCTATTTTTCATAAGTTTTTTCAAAATTGTTTTCCTCTTTCCAACTGGCTGAAATGAATTAATTTTATCTTTAAAAACACTTTTTGTCGAATCAGCGTAACTCTCTGATATTATTTCGATTGAATTTTTTAGCTGTTTTCAACTTTCATTTATTCTTTTATTTATTTATTGCCATTATTAATAATTATATTTTATATATTTATATATTATTTTTATTCTACATCTAATTATTATTATTATTATTATTATTATTATTATTATTATTATTATTATTATTATTATTATTAACAACACTTTCAAAAATACCAGACTCTTATGTGCCTTGTTTTCGTGTTAGGATGAAAAAAAAACATCTACTCGAAGTTTTTGGTTTTTATTTTATTATTTCTTTCTCGTCTTCGCCTTAAGCCGGCCATCTTTTATCCCCTTCCTGTTATGAAAAATAAAATCAAAAAGTCAAAAAATAAATAATTGAAATAATAATAAAAATAAAATGCAGTATAAGAACGAACGAAATTTTTATAAATGAACTTAAAAAATGCGTAGATTAAATAACGATTGCAAATAAAATATTATTATTAAAATTAAAACCTCTTAAACAAAAAGTTTGAATCATTATAAGAAAAAAGAGTAGGTAGAAGAGAGAGAAAAAAGGAGAGGGGAGGGGGAAGAGGGAGAAATTCAAATTTTTATGATGAACAGACAAGAGGAAGAGGAATACAATAAGTTATTGCAATGGGCTGTCCGGAGATTAGAGTGAGAATCACCATCGAGATCGTCATCATCAGTACCACCATCAGTATCATCACCATCATCAATATCATCATCATCATCACCGTCATAAACATCCTCGTCAATACCATTATCATGCCTGTATGTACGTTGCTTTTTAAATTTTTTATTATAATAATTATATTATAATATTATTATTATAATTATTATATTATATTACTATTGTACTTTTATTATTAGCGTATTTGTAAGCGCCCTTAAAAAGCGCCTCCAGCTCTCTACAAAATTAAATAACTGACAACGCAAGATCACGAAGGTCCCTAGGCAAACCATTCCAGACAGCAGGACCCATTAGGGAAACCATCCTACGACAAATAGCCAAGTTTGTGTCAGGTACAAATAGCAAACCCGACAGGTCTAGTGGTAATGTAGACTATTGCAATAGTGAAATTTGAGTGGATAAACAACTGCACATGGCATTGAAAAGTATGTCTGTTTAAAGATCGTTCGATGAATCTAAGCCTACGCAGCTGTCCAGAGCATTCTTTCGAAACTGTTCTAGTGTAAATGTTAAAAGACGTGTTACTATCAAAAACAAATCCCAGGTTGCGTGCAGATGTGCAAAATTCAACGTCACAATCACCAAGTCTTAGAGACTCAATGTTTATATTTTCCAATTCCAGCCTAGTGACAACCGGTAAAATAGTAATTTATGATTAATGCTATTTAAGCCTATTTGTTACCATGCATCCATTAATTCCCACATGTATGTATGTGTGCGTGTGGATAGATAGTTGTGTTCATGTGTATGTTCATGTGTATGTTCATGTGTATGAGCAGAACATACATAAATATAGAGTAATGTACTGATGAATTAATCTGCTTCCGAGTGTTATTGTTTGTATAATTACGTGTAAATAAAATGGATAATTGGATACAATATCATTTTCGTATCTAAGTAAATGTATCATCAAAATTATCATCATAATCGTGACCGTCATTATCACCATCATCATCGTTATCATCCTTCTCCTCATCATTATCATCATCATCACCATCATTGGCATCATATAAATCATCATTATTACACTCATCATTATCATCATCATTATCATCATCATCATCACCATCATCATCACCATCAAAAGCTACATCACCATCATCAGTATCTAGATCATCATCATCGTTCCCATCATATCGTCATCATTATTTTGATTGAGCGTCATCATCGCCATGTACAGTTACATCATCATCATCATCATCACCACCACCACCATCATCATCATCATTATCTTGATTGAGCATCATCATCACTATCTACATTTACATCATCATCATCACCATCAACAGTTACATCATCATCATCCTTAAGATTATCATCATCATCATCGTCTTATATCGTCATCATCATAATTACACCGTATATCATCATTATAGTTATCGCTAGGTAGGAGCTTCATTGTTTATTGCTCGTCTTTTCATCTCTACCACTGACGTCATCGTCGTCACCATCGTCAGAAGTCTTATTACTAGGATCATCATCATCATCCACATCATCGTTAGGATCATCATCATCATCGTTTTGGATCATCATCATCCTCATCATCATTATCGCCATCATCAACTTTGCTTTAAAACCCGATTTTTTTAAAAAGAATGTAAAGCGAACATCACTGACTATAGACTCATTTCTCTCCTATGGCCTCTATCGAAATTAATAAAAAAAATAATTCATGACTGAATTTATTCTTTCTCTGAGATTGATTAGGTTATCAGTGACATTCAGTACGGTTTTCAACCGGGACACTCAGCTGAACTGGCCGTACTTGACTACGTTCATCGTTTGCTATCTAAACAACCCAACGGCAAAAATACACTCATTCGGCTTGTTTCTAGATCTCTTAAAGACTTTTTATTTGATTAACCACGATATCCTTGATAAATAGTAGTTTTTAATTTTGCACCATTCCAATCAAAAACATTGTTGTAAAAAAAATTAGTGAATTAATGTGGTTGACATTTTTTTTTAAATTGAAAAACTTTTCAGACCAATTTTGAGCCCCACCCCTCTCTACATTACAAATTACAGGGTGACCAACCTGCCTTCATCTCTCTGGCATCATGAGATAGTTGCCAGCTTCCAATCAAAGTCATTTAGTTGTTTGGCGTTCCTTGCAGTTTTCTTTACATAGACAAAAGCAATGTTTTAATTTTATCTACTGACATTTAGAATGAATTATGTATTTGTTATATTAAAAATTTTAATTCTCGAAATTTGTAGTCGCATTTGAAAAAATTTTTAGCAACATTTTTTGGTAACAGCTCACGGCGATATTAACGCTTCTAAATTCTACCCACGATCGTGAAGCGATATATGAATCACAAAACATAGTAGAATATGACAGTTTATATCATTATGATAAATATGTTAAGTTTGAAAATTTTCAATTTTTTCATTTTCATACAATGCCCGCCACATTAACGATCTATATAAATGTTGTCATTAGCATTACAGCCAACTTAACATTACCACCTCGACCATAACATCATTTTAACAACATCAACACCATTAATAACATCAACAACAACATCCTTAGTAACATCATCATTGAAGGAAATCATTAGAAATGACGTCATCACTACGTCGTCATCTTCATGATGATGAAATTTTTAAAAAATGGTATTGTATTTTATGATTTATATGGCGCTTTCCTGGGGTCAATTGAATTCAGAAACAACATTGAAGTATCCCGGAACAACACACAAACAACAACAAAAACGCCAGCAATGCCAACAACGATATCATATCATCATTAACAACGTTTGACATTAAAATAAACAATAACAACAACATTAGCAACAACATCAACAACAACAACATCAACGACATCAATAACAACAACAACAACATCAACAAAATCGTCATCACTCTCCTTATCACCATCGCCATCATCATCTTTCCATCTCGATATCATCTCGGTAAATTTATAAAAGGCTGGACTCTTTAAATATTCGATATTCAATATCGGCATATTACCATCCTCATGTCCATTAATCATCCTATCATCTGAAGAAGAGTATGCATGCATGCACACATACCTGCATGCATACATACATACATACATATATACATACATACATACATACATACATACATACATACATACATACATACATACATACATACATACATACATACATACATACATACATACATACATAAATACATACATACATACATGCATGCATACATACATACATACATACATGCATGCATACATACATACATACATACATACATACATACATACATACATATCTTCATTGACCAAAAAATCCGCAATTAGCAAGCAGCAAAGAATTGCAACATCATCACCGACCAGAAAAATATTATTGAAAGACATTACAAGCAAAGAGAATGAACAGCTGAACGAAGATATATTAAATGGACAGGACAGAGCAGATTAAGAGCACTTTGCACACACAGAAAGTTGTAAAACCTTGAAATATCCCCATATATTATATAAGCACGCTTCACCATGAACAACAACGATTTTCTTATTAATTTTTATAAACTGGATAATTACTGTTAGTGTTGAAAAGCTCAACCGTAAACTTTCAAAAGCTAAAAATTTTGTAGATTTTATCAAATATTAATACATATATATGTATACATCATATTCATGCACACACAAACACACACAAACACACACACATATATATATATATATATGTATAGTTATATATATAATATATATATATAGATGCATATATACGTTTAATAGTTTTTTTTTATTCCCATGATCAGACATCCATCCCTATCTTTATTTATGGCCACCTCCGGAAATCCCACGTGATCACGTGAGGTCTATGGTCCAATGAGGACGCTCGCTGGTGAGGAGTGCAATCTTGATAATGATGGCGATGGTTGTTATGAAGCTATGATGGCGATTTTGTTGTATGCAACGATGTTGATGACGTCATGTGATGATGATGATGATGATGATGTGACGTAACGCAGAAGCTTCAACGATGGTGATGATGTTGATGGAAACGACTCCATCTTCTCTTGCCATTCCGATCTTTTCACCCTGCAAAATACATTACCAGGTAGGCTCGAGGTCCCTACTTGTTGGACCTCCCAACACAAGAAATTGGAAGTGTTGACAGAACAAAATCAAAAAGATTGATTTAGTCTCATTGTTGTTAAACACAAAATGAACAAAAACCAGTTGAACGTAAAATGGATGAACGACTTGAAAGACAAACAAACATTCACAAACTCAACAGAAACCACAAAACATTCTGAAAGTTGGATTAAAACAAGTAAACGAATCCTTTAAAAAATTTGAAAGCAAAAATACAAAGCAGAGAATAATTAATTAACAGTTAATCAAAATGAAAAAATTTTTTAAACTAAATTATGGATAAACTTTTTAAATAAACCAAGCGAAAATAAGTAATTTTTACATCGTTTTGTAAAGCCACAAAGGTGAACTGAAACAGAGAGAACAAAATTTACTAGAACAATGATAACAATGATAAGAACGTTGTTAATAATGATGGCATTATCATCAGATCAGGGTGCTGATGGTCTTTTGATATCAACAATAAATAGAGATGATGAAAATGACACTGCGATTGTGACGAAGACAGTGATGACGACAAAACAACCGTCACAGAAACGCTGGTACATGTTATGGATAATTTCGAAGGTTACGATGGTAACGATACTGAACTGAAAAACGTTGTGATGATAATGATGCTGATATCCTGATGATGGTGATGATGATGACGACGACGATGATGATGATGGCATAACAATCATGGAAATAATGACGTCACACGGAAATGTATGCAGATGCACTCGCCACATGCATGCCTCAACCAATTAAAACTTTCCAACGAGCACTCGAATTAATTTCTCATCTCTCCTTTTTATGACCTTTTTTTCTTTTTCTTCTTTTTTTCTATTTTTTCTCTGTTTTGATGCTAGTTTTTATTACATTTATTTTTCTTTCTCTCTCTCTCCTTCTGACTCTCTTTCTTTGTTTTTGAGATGTTTTGTTTATATAATTTTATCATTCGTATTTTATTTATTTTATAAAGATCCTCTTTTTTGCTCATTTTTTGTTTACATTCACTTGTGCCAACTTCGTTCTTCTTCTTTTCACGTTTATATCTGTTTTTTTTTAATTAATTATCTAATTAATTCATTCATTCAATCGTTTTTTAATCATTCTTTCGTTCATTCATTCATTTATTCCTTCATTCATTCATTCACTCATTCATTCATTTATTCAATCGTCCATTCATTCACACGTTCAATCATACATTGGCTTGACTAATGATGTGGATTTTTATTTGATTTGAAAATTTACATGCGGCGAACTGAGCGTGTACTGTTTATGCGTTAGTGCGCACGTGTGTATGTGCGTGTCTGTGTGTCTGTGTGCGTGTGTGCGTGCGAATGTACGTGTGTGTATTTGCGTGTGTGTGCGGGTGGTATGCTATTTGTTGTAAAAAAAATATTTATTGGTACTCTCAAGTAAAATGTTGGAAGAATTTTTTACATATATAAGTAACAAAGATAAAAATAGTCGTAATAACAATTGTAATATTAGCAACAGTAGTAGTAGTAATAGTAGTAGTAGTAGTAGCAGCAGTAGTAGTAGTAGTAGTAGTAGTAGTAGTAGTAGTAGTAGTAGTAGCAGCAGCAGTGGCGGTGGCGGTAGTTGTTTCGGTTTATATAATACTGGCTGATTTCACGCAACTTTTTCGTGTTGGAAAAAGATGATTTGGTACGTTTGAGTCTGTGATTATCAAGATGATGATGGTGATTATGGTGGTAAAGTTTGTGATGAGGATGATGATGATGATGACGATGATGGTGACGACGTAAATGATGTTCATGATGCTAGCAGTATCGTCATGCCTTGATAGATGATAGATGGCTTGGATAGTGATCTTCCAATCATTTGTAATAATTTCTTTGCGATGAAAAATATTTAATAACAGCATCACCAAAACCATGAAAAATTTTACAAATCATAATTAACAACATCAACAATACCGGCTATTAAAATCCGGACAGAGAATTCGCCAGAACTAATAAATGGAAAAAAAAGCAAATTCATTACCAAAGAACATTGACAGCAAAGTAAAACAAAAGCTACACCAACATAAACAATGTCACGCACACACGACGCCGCAAAAAATATCTCTCAGAAAAATACGAACTACACAGCCATGAACGCAAAAAAAGCACACAGACTCAAACACAACCACACACTCTGCATAAACACGCACGTAATGTTACGCGCAAACACACACACACGCACACAGACACGCACGCACCGACAGACACAGACCAACACACACACATAGACACGCACGCACACACGTACAAATGCAGTCAGGCAATCTCAGTCATAACATCCAGCAAATGCACATTTTATTAGACGCGCTGACGTTTAACAAGCAATTTTTGTGGCTACCACACGCCAACGACAAACTCCCCGCTAAACGTCGTTTTATTAATCTTTCATCAATCTATTGGCGTGTTAGTGTGTGTGTGTGTGTACGTGTGTATATGTGTGCGTACATGTGTGTGTATGTACATGTTTGTGTATGTAAATGAGTGTGTGTGTACATGAGTGTGTGTGTACGTATGTGTGTGTGTATGCTGAATGAAAGGAAATTGTTTTTAGCAGCATCAATTTTCTGAGACTTAAATGTAACGGGGCTGGCTGGCAGCGGTGAAACTTAAAAAACTCATTCCCACATCCAATAATTTCCTAGGCGTCGGAAGAATATTTGATGAGTGAAAAAAAATGAATTAAAAATAAATTAAATGAATGAATGAATGTAGTTTTAAAATGAAAGAATTAAGTGGATTTTTTTTACAAATTGGTTAAAAGATAATTTTTCAGCATTTTAGAGATTGATTGATCGAAAAATGATGAAATAAATGAAAGAAAAAATAGTCATTATATAATTGAATGTTTAGGAAATGTATACATTTATATAAAAATATATAAAATATACCTATTTAAATGTATATGTGTTTGTGTGTATGTGTTTTTGTGCATGTATGTATGCATGTATGTATGTACTATTATTATTATTGTTGTTACATTTATATAGCGCCAGTTTAAAAAAAGCACTTCAATATATTAAATGCTATTAAGAGCTGAACAGATAGGTTTGTGTTTTGATAGGTTTCATCTGAATTTTGCACCATCCAAACATCTGCGTCGGACCACCGATTGGCGAGTCGACCTGCAATCGATCCAAGTATCTCAGGCACAGTTTTTGCTACAATCTGGATATCACCTGCATAAGCAAAACTCTTAAAACCGTATCTGTCAATAATTTCAAACACATCCGTAGTGTGCAGAAGAAACAAAATAGGACCAAGAACGGACTCCTGCGGTACACCGTATTCCTGAGATATTCCTTGGAAGAAAGTACGTCATTAAAAAACAGCTGCTGGGAACTCCCACTAAGGTAGGATTTAAACAAATCCTAGACCAACGTCATGATCGACGAAATCAAATGCTCCACTCCTGTCGAATAAAGCCACAACAGATATATTTTTAGAATCAGATGACTCACACAGAACACAGCCAACTGCGAAAATGTATGTATGTGTACATACATACGTACGTATGTATGTATTCAATAATGAGTTTATTCAGCAAAAAGCTAGGAGGTATGTATGTATGTGTGTTTGTGTGTGTGTGTATATGTGTTTGTATGGATGTGTGTGCATGTGAGTGTTTGATTGATTGATGTTGATTGAATGTCCAAAAGTATTTCATAATAGAATTGATATTAGGAAGCATTGTCTACATGACAACGGATCGTTCACAAGCAAAAATGCCCTACATAGGAAACAAAAATTTAATATAGCAAAAAAATAATTATGTTTATTCACAAATAATAATAATAATAATAATAACAATAAAATAATAACAATAATGAGAATGGCCTTTTATTTGCACCATGAAATAAAACGTACATTTAAAAGAAAGAATCATTAAAATTTAATGGTTATTAAATTTACTATGAGTTAATAATGCAGTGAGTAAAATATAATCACTAAAATTTATACAATAACAAAATGGATAGTTAATGTTGATGAAACTTTTTACTCGTTGCCTCGAGCAAGCACGAAAAAGTTTAAAAGCAGCAAAGAATGTTATAGATTTAATAATTCACAGTAGATATTGTCAACTTATTTACAAACGAATCTGACCATATTGTGTTAATTAATTGTAAATTAAATTTATTAAAAAGCCCTTTTGGAAATATTTCAAATGTTTTAAGAATTATTTTGTAATGTTTAAAATTGTCTTTGAAGTTGGCCTTGAGCTTGTCTTTGTATTTGTTGATTTTATACTCTTCCGACTTGGCCAAGTTTGTCTCGGATATCGGGAGTAGTATTTCTTCAACGTCTATGCCAGCGTAGATGACCCACTCCAGTCGTTTTTGTAGTTGACAACTAGCGCTAGAATCTTGTTGTGTCTTCCAATGTAGCGAGTCAGTGCTGAAATTGATCCACAGTTGGATAAGACATGTTTATTCGTCTGGCTGGCTTTGCAGAGAGGGTAAAGTTGGTTATTCATTTCACCCCATCTAAGAAGATGAGTGTTAGTCGGCTGCTGTTGTATGAGATATTTTCTAGTACATAATAATAATAATAATAATAATGATGATAAAAATAATAATAATAACAAAGCTATCAAGAGTTGTGTATGTCAACTGAAATAGTCCATATTTACGTAATCAGATATTCCAAAAGTATCTCATCACTATTTTTACAGTAACATTGATCAGCACTTTGTCATTTTTTAGTACTGATGGGTTGGTTAAGGTTATTGGATTACTTTTACTGGTCAGTAATTAGTTAGAGTAATTAGTTGCTCTTAGAAAAAAGTAACGCCACAAACAGCTGTGTATGTGCGTGTGTATGTGTGTATGTGAGACATTATCAGTAATTGGCCATTGAAAAATAATTAAATAGTAAAATTTTCAAAAATTAAAATATCAAATGAAAAAATTAAATAAAAAATGAATCATAAAAAAATAAATAAAAATTTAAAGAGCAAAAAAACTCTGAAAGAACCGACCGAGCGATAGTTGACAAGTAACAAAATGTAAATTTAAATGAAGCAGAAAGGCCAAGGTCACCAAGCCAGTCTCTATGGTATACAAAACTATACTGTAAATGTTTTGTTTTGTATGTCTCTTTGTATGTTTGTGTTTGTTTGTCTATGCTTGTGAGTGTGTGTGTGTGTGTGTGTGTGTAGTGTGGTGTGGTGTGTGTAATGTGGGTGAATTTTTATATTTTTTGTTTCATTGTATGCTTATACCGTATTTTTTGTTGTTCGTTTCAGTTTTGTATGTTTATTCTGCATATTGTGTGATTGTTCGTGTGTGCGTGCGTGTGTGCGCGTGTGCGTTTGCGTGCGTGTGCTTCAACTCTCCAAGACACCAGTGAAATGTCATTAAACCTCAGAATTATTCTCTTTTCAACAGTCATCATAATTATCATAACCATCATCTTTATCATATTATCCGCCATTATTAGTCATCATCGTCATTATTATCATCGTCAGAATTAAAAACCATATTTTTTTAAATTCTCAAGTTAATAACTTCTTTTTTTCGCTAATTTCCGTTCATTTCCTCGCTATCTCTAACACGGAACCTTCCTTATGATCCTCTTTTGTGGTCTGGTTGGGAGGAGGCAATCCGGCTTTCTTCTGGATCCGCCACTGCTTCTCATCACCACCATCGTCTTAACCATCCTCGTTGTTGTCATTCTCACTCCATAAGGATTTCGGGCGGAACTTGAAAAAATTCACACATAAGCCGTAAAAATTTTACAATCGGGGTTCAACGTGTTTTAGTACCTCTTAAAATTCTTATTACCGTTCGCAATTATTGTTTTTGCGTTACATAATTTATTATTATTATGAATGTTGTTATTATTGTTGTTGTTACTGTTATTGTTGTTATTGCTTTTTAATACTACCATAATTATACTCTTTCTACAGCCACTAACACTGCTTATTACTACTGCTACTACTACTACTACTACTACTGCTGCTGCTGCTGCTGCTGCTGCTGCTGCTACTGTTGCTACTGCTATAGCTACAACTTTTAATAATGTTTATGATGACGATAATAATAACAATAATAGTACTACCACAATTATAATTATTATCACTAATTTTATTCATATAACTATCATTATATTTACAATGAAGTTTATCGCAAGAATTTAATTAGGAAGAATGATATTAAGCAATCCCGGAGCACTGAATCACTCATGCACTCAGTTCGCATCCATCAGTCAATTTATTGTTAATCATTCACTCATTTATTTATTTATTAAATCATTTAATAGTTTGAAACATCTAACCTTTATTAATTAATCCTCTTATTTGTTCACTTTGGTGTTCAACTACTCATTCATACATTTATTCATTCGTTTGTTCTTCCATTATTCAATCGTTCGTTCATCCATGTATCCATGCATTTATTAATTTATCTATCCATCCATTTATTCATCCTTCCGTTTATTTAATTGTCCATCCATCCATTCATCCATCCATCCATCCATCCATCCATCCATCCATCCATCCATCCATCCATCCATCCATCCATCCATCCATCCATCCATCCATCCATCCATCCATCCATCCATTCATTCATTCAGCCAGCCATTCATTCATTCATTCATTCATTTCCATCCATCCATTCATTCATCCATCCGTTCATTTATCCATCCATCCATTTATCTTTCCATCCATCTATCCACCAGCTCAGACAACGTCAAATATGCCACGGACACGAAAACGAAATCCGCCTGGAATCCGGATGTCCAGGAAGCCGGAAGCACCACGTGACCTTCTACTTCCGGGACCAAGGATGCGTTCCTGAGGATCTCTATATGTACACAACGCAAACACTCGTCTGCCTCGCGAGATGGCGCGAAAAAAGTTGCGTTTCTGTTTGTCTAGATGTGTTGACTGTGTTTGCGTTCGTGGTCTTGCGTGTGTGTTGTATTTGTTTGTGATCATGTGTGGTTTTGTGTGTGTTGTGTATGTACGGTTTTTGGTGTCTATCATGATTTCATGTTTTTGTATCTCTTTGTCTGCACGTGAGCATGTTTGTATTTTTTTCAATTTGAGAACATTTTTGTGAAATATTTGTTGTTAGTTTTTTGCATGGTGGGTTTCATCCAATGTTTGTTGTGTCTGTTTAAATTCGCTAGTGCTATTTTCAGGTTGTATTTTTATTTTTTCATTGGGTATTTTTGTATCTTCATGTTGTTATATGTGCTGGTGTATCTTGCTAGCGATAAATGTTGGTTTCATTCTTGCAGTTTAATTTTATGTTCATTTGATTGCGTGCTAGCATGCAAGTCTATTTTATATGTGTGTGTATTTATGTATGTGTTTATGAATATGTATGTATGTGTGCGTATGTATGTGTGTGTGAATAAATGTATGTTTGTGTGTGTGTATGTATGTGTGTGTATGTATGTATGTGTGTGCGTGTATGTATCAATGAATACAAACGTACGTATGCATTTCGGATGCAAATTTTTCTGACATGTCATAAGTCGTGCGGTTTTTTGTTTGCGAGCATTTGTTTGCGTGGCCTTATGTTGCACAGTAGAAAAATATTCATTTGTATGTGTGTGTCCGTGTGTATGTTTGTTTGTATGTATGTTTGTATCCCGTTGTGTGTTTTAAACTCTTTGTATGTTTCCATGAATATATCTTCGTTTCTTTAATGAATGCATGTAGGCGTGTATGCTCGCCTAGTTATTATTTCAATTTAAATCTTAAAGAGTTTTTTTTTCTTTTGCTGAAATTCTGCCCACAAATTTTTTTTACACGTTAATTTGCTCGTATTTTTTAAATTTCTTTTTTACTCAGAATAAATTAATTTTCCAGCGCATTCGAATTTATAAAAGTGAACGAGAATAAAAGCAAATATCAGCTTTAAATAATCGTAAAAGAGCGCTACACGCACACACATACATATACATATACACACGCACACACGTGTGTATATATATTCATCACGTCTTTATATCTATCTCAACTACACTCGATCTTTCACTCAATCTTTCACTCACTCACTCACTCATTCATTTACTCCCTCACTCACTCACTCTTACTTACTCACTCTTACTTACTCACTCACTCATTTTCACTAGCTCACTCTTACTCACTCATTCACCAGATTTCACTCACTAACTCTTACTCACTCACTCATTCACCAGATTTCACATTCGTTCTATTGAAGCATGACCTGTTCCAATATGCCTGGGTCCTGAGGTTTCAAGAGGCCTTCCTGGCTGATGATAACCATCATCACCTCCACCACCATCCCCATCAGTATCATCATCATCATCAACTTCGTCGTCGTCGTCGTCAACTATCAGATACAAGTTATGATAGCGATCAATATCATGATCCCATGGTCGACAATGATGATGATGATCACGATGATCACGATGATCACGATGATGATTATCAAAATGATGATGACGTCATCAATTGTGATGTGAGAGGCAGTGATGAAACTGACATCAACAACGCTAGCAGCAACAATGACGACGAGAATGGCGATGACGACGAAGATGCTGCAGGTTACATCAATAACATCTCCACTAACACTGACATTAAAGCCGGCAGTGACGACGTCAATGGAAAGATGAAAAAACTCGGACGAGAAGATATGTCCAGCCAAGAGAGAAACAAAATTGCAAACATTACGACAACAACAACAACCACAACAGCATCAACCACAATGCCCACAGCCACAACAACAGCAACAACAACAGCAGCAAAAACAACAATAATATTAATAACATTAATCATAACCATAATAGTAACCAGGCCAGAAACAATAATAATAATAACAACAACAACAACAATAACAACAACAACAACAACAATAATAACGACAACAACAACAACAACAACAAAACCATCGCCAATAAAAGTTTTAATAAATCTGCTAAGCACATTACTAATAACACCAACACGAATAACAATAACAACAATAACAATAATAATAACAGTAACAATAATAGAAAAGTTTTAAATAGTAATATCAAATATAACGACAAACCCAACAAAATAAACACACAAGTCAATGACAACAAAATCTCCAACAACTATAACACCAACATCGTCAACAATAACAACAACAACAACAACAACACCAATAATAATAATAATAATAATAATAATAATAATGATAATAATAATATCAACAATAGTATCAACAGCAATAACATTAACAACAACAACAGCAACCAAATCAACAACAACAATTATAACAAACTTAACAACTCAAGTACTAACTACGCTAAAAGAAGTCGTCGTGATAAACAATTCAACAACACAAATAACATCATAAACAACAGCAAAAGCATCACCATAAACAACATTAACAACAACAACAAACAATACAACATCAATAAGAACAAAATAAACAAGCCCAACAAAACTAATAAGTCTTTTGGTAGCAACAAAAATGACATCAAACACACTTACAACAGCATTAAACGCAACAACAAAGCTACAAACAACAACAGCAACAATCGCTACCACCATTACCACGATAACTACAATTTCACCCTCTTCAAAGACTTGGTGGCCGATGCCTCCCCCCACCAGATTGTCCAGTCGTTTAACTTCATTGAGGTGCATGCCACAAGATCAAACGATCATCATTATCATCATCGTTATAGCGACGATCCTGATTATGATAACGGTGATGGTGATGATGATGATGGTGGTGATGATGATGATGATGATGACGGCTATGAATACGGCGTTCTGAAACGATATTTTATCAATAATAATGCCAATAAAAATGCCGGATTGGAAATGATGACGAAGAAAGAAAAACAGTCGTACAACAGCAACAAAAACCACAACAACAAAAAACACAACAACAGGAACAACAACAACACAAACAGAAACAACAACAACAACAACATGAACGAATACCCATGCCGAGAGTATTGCGCCGAAAAATATCGCGAGAACTGCTCCAACGCAACAACAACAACACCTAAAACAACAAATTTTGAAACGACTAAAGCAAAGCAAACAGCAACAAAATCAAAACAAACAACAAAAAACTCAAAACAAACCGCAACAACAGCAGCAGCAACAACAACAACAAACCCTCGGCACAGCTGCAACGACCGCTGTCAAAATGC